TCTATTTTCATGTTATAAATATTTCAATGTTTGTTTATTTTTGACTACGATATTCTATACACGCTAATTTTAATTGTTTAGCCGTGCATTCTGATGAACCATCAAACTGGAGCAGGCAAGTTGATTTCATTCTTAGTAAAATGTTGAAGCACTGTTATGTTATTTTAACTCCGCATATTTGTAAGTGTTGATATTATCGAGCTGTACTACTTTTCGTAGGTCCATTCATCCCTTAGCTATTGCATAGTTTGCTGAGGGAAGTGCTCTCGCGATAGTGAAGTGCTTATAATTCAGAAGAAAATATTGAGAACAATAGTTTCTAAGCATTGGCGTTACCCATGTAGAGAGCTCTTCAACTGTTATTATGTAAATATACACATAATATCAGTTCACTCTATGTCTACAGAAGCATTGTTTATATTAAAGAAAATTTAAGTTCTTTCTGCATAGATAGGAGATATATTCAATGTTATGAATTATGCCAGACCGAAGCTGTACTTATACCCGACAGAGATTGTCTCTAACTTCAAAAGGGCCCAATATTATGACAATTAGGTTGTACAACAAGTGACCAAAGGTCAATTATGTTGAATAGTGCCTTCTACAGCATTGAGGAATATTTCAACTATATATTTGAGTGATGTCCTCTTTTGTATTCATCAACGTTTGTCTCATATTGTGATGTTATGTTAGTCATCCTACTTATTATGATTGTTTTATGTATACATGATATACCTGAATTTGACAATTCCAACACTACTAATTGTGTAGTCATCCGGAAATAAAGTTATTATTATACAGGGTGTTTCAGTTTATTGTTGCATAACTTTAAGATTCGATAGAACTTTTAAAATTAATGCATAAAGTCTATATAAACATGGGTCGAAAAATGCGTGGCTTCCGAAATACAGGGTGTTTAAATTTACCTTCCAAAATAGTTTTTTTTAAATATTTCGAACAATATTTGATGTATAACAGTAAAAACTGGTATACAAGGGTTTTTTGGTGCGACAAAACGAACCATGGGCATAGTTTTACTGTAGCCGCTAGAGGGCGCTCTCTACTGTACCTGTAGTGTATTAAAATGACCGAAAATTTTTTCTTAGTGCAATTGTTTGCTTTTTGAATAAAAAAACTGATTCTTCGCACTTTTCAACATAAAAAAGCTTTTCTGTGAGTTTTCGTTATAGTTAGCCGTTTTTGGGATATTTCGATTTTAAGGTTCGATGCATTTTTAACTATTTATGGGAAAATAATATTTTTTTTTTACATTTTCGATTTGGGCATTACAAGTAATTAAGATGATCGTTTAGATTGTGTTTTTAAACACAGCAATAATTAGTTTTTCCCAAGTACCATAAGTAAACCACGAAATTTTTACAAATTTCTTAACGGTATGTAAACACCCCCTAAGAACGCATTTTTTTCCTAATTTAACCGAAACTTTATCTCCTACAGGTACTGAAATCCCCATGCATAAGATTCTCATCTTGGGGGTATATACCAATATCCTTACCGCTTTCATACTAATTTCATAATCATAATATGTATGATTCTGGTATGAAGATAGTCACTACTATGGTTTGTACTGCTTGGGTGGATATTAGATGACTATTACCTGTCTCCAAAAGGCACTATCCGTTAAAAAAAGTAGTCTTAAAGCAAAAAAGTTGAAAAATACCCCTAGGGTAACACTCCACCTTTTCACTTTTGCACTTTTGGGGTTTTCAAGATATTATTCTTTTGATTTATTTTATTTATTAAGGCACATTATTATTATATAGGGTGTTTCAGTTTATTGTTGCATAACTTTAAGATTCGATAGAACTTTTAAAATTAATGCATAAAGTCTATATAAACATGGGTCGAAAAATGCGTGGCTTCCGAAATACAGGGTGTTTAAATTGACTTTTTAAAATAGTTTTTTTTAAAATATTTCGAACAATATTTGATGTATAACAGTGAAAATTGGTATACAAGGGTTTTTTGGTACGACAAGTTTTACTGAAGCCGCTAGAGGGCGCTCTCTACTGTACCTGTAGTGTATTAAAATGACCGAAAATTTTTTCTTAGTGCAATTTTTTGCTTTTTGAATAAAAAAACTGATTCTTCGCACTTTTCTGCATAAAAAAGCTCTCTTGTGAGTTTTCGTTATAGTTAGCCGTTTTTGAGATATTTAGATTTCTGAGGTTGGATGCATTTTTAATTATTTATGGAAAATAATATTTCTTTTTAAATTTTCGATTTGAGCATTACAAGTAATTAAGATCATCGTTTAGATTATGTTTTTAAACACGACAATAATTCCTAACTCCAAGTAAACACAAAAAAACAGAATATTAATTTGTTTAATTTTCCAATATTATCTTTAAAAAATTAAATTAATTATTTACAACTAAAATGCTATTGGATAGTTAGGACAAACGTACAAAATCAAAAGTAGTTGCTCGAAATGTAAACCGTTGCTGAAATTCCCATGGCACCAGAAACTCTCCTAACATTTGTGGTCGGATCTCTATCAAACTCACGCAGAATCATACGGGTAAATCTGCGCTGACGAACATTTATGTTTTGATCCCTTTGGGGATTTCCAAAACCATTTTCAATTATTTGGCGATGCACTCTTACAAATACTGAGCGAGTTGGATGTCGTGTGTTTGGAAATCTTCGTGCGTATTCTCTGGCTGCTTACAAAAAAAAACAGGTAAAAGAAACTAAATTTCGTGCATTCACAATTGCAAAAAAATATTTCAGGTTTAAACAGACAACAAAACTAACTGTCAACTAATTGACGTTTAACCTTATTCTGCTTTCAATTTCAAAAATATTTGCAGGCACAGCCTCCTTCTAAAAATTATCGAAATACTGACTTTTTAACGTTATTTTATCATAATTAATTAAAAATGCATCGAACCTTAAAAATCGAAATATCTCTAAAACGGCTAACTATAACGAAAATTCACAAGAGAGCTTTTTTTATGTTGAAAGGTGCGTAGAATCAGTTTTTTTATTCAGAAAGCAAAAAATTGCACTAAGAAAAAATTGTCGGTCATTTTAATACACTACAGGTACAGTAGAGAGCGCCCTCTAGCGGCTACAGTAAAACTATGCCCATGGTTCGTTTTGTCATACCAAGAAACCCTTGTATACCAATTTTCACTGTTATACATCAAATATTGTTCGAAATATTTAAAAAAAACTATTTTAGAAAGTAAATTTAAACACCCTGTATTTCGGAAGCCACGCATTTTTCGACCCATGTTTATATAAACTTTATACATTAATTTTAAAAGTTCTATCGAATCATAAAGTTATGAAACAATAATCTGAAACACCCTGTATACTGATGTATGTCATTTAGATATTTATTTTCTACATGTTTGTTTTTAATCTATCGTACCGTTGCACAGTGACGTGTCATCCTACGATTATCTGACAAAGAAATGAAGTGGAATAACCTATGATTTAAAGGGATAAAAGCTCATGACCCACGCCGAAATATCCCAGTAGTTTGCCTGACAAAGGTCAAACGTTCCAGAAAGTTTGTTAGCGCATAGCCGTAAAGCGGTAGCGGCAGTCTTAACAAAACTAACAATTCGAGAGCTTTAATCACTTTTCGTAGCGGAAGGACTGCGTCTGCTGCCGGTCCAAACGAATCCCTCAGAGCTCATTTTAATACCAGGTAGACGACAATATGCAAGGAAATGAAGGCTTGAGGAAACAAACGGATCCTCTCGAATGTCATCTCGTTCTGTTTGTCTTTCCTTCGTCGGCTTTTAATATCCAATATACCGAAAATCGTCAGCCATGAGAGTACAAACGTGGTGCAGTGACGTAGGGATGATTGCATCTAGAGGGAATACGAGTTGTCGATCGGAGGGCAAAAATTGCCACCATCAGTACAACGATCATGGGTTAATTGCTGATTTGAGGTAGTAGAATAACTGGGAGCAAGTGGGCCGACCGACATACGTAGACTATTAGGTACATGGCGACCCCGTGGGCGTACTAACGGCCGACGGTCTACTCCGGGAGGGAATTTTTTTTCTGCTGAATGTCGGCTGGAGTCTCGGATAGCCAGCCACCAACCTGGACCTTCACTCCGTGGTTCCCAACGCAAGGAAAAAGTACCTCTACACCCGTCCCTACTCGGAATGGGATTTAACGTAAGTTAGCGACGTACGATGGCCCGACGATGACGACCGCGACAGCTTTAACCACTTTAAAGGATCCCCCAAACCAACGCGATTAATCCGCTGGGATATTCGTCGCGGTAGCATCCCACAAACCGGCGCGAAATATTCGCTTTGGCTGCGAAAATTTCGCGGCGATGAATGCGCGATCAGATTAAAACGCGGCGGTTTACGGACAGGCTCAGACTTGTGCGAAGCGAATGCGATTGTTCCAGCGTTTTTATCGCGGCGTATTTCAGTTCGCCTTTGACCGCGTTTTTGACGCCGTTCTTCAAAAATTCGCAATGGCAAAAACGGAATTATTGATAGAAATAGTGAAAAAGTATCCTTGTTTGTATGATTTGTCCAACGATGAATACAGGAATGTGAGAAAGAAAGACAAGATTTGGATGGAAATAGGAAAAGAATTAAATACAAATGGTATGTACCTAATATTTTTTATTAACTTGTTAAATAATTTACAGTCTACACAAATGTGAAAACGAACATTCTATATATTGGGCATAGACATATCAGAATTAAAATAATTTACGAATCTGTCACGAGTAGAAAATGCTAGCCTTGCTGCCCGCCGAGGATCATTTGCTATATCAGTAAAAGCTCCAAGCACGGGTTCTGGGGGATCTAAGAATTGAAAATATTTGTCATCGCCACTTTTACTTCGTAAACAATTCTGTAAAACACCGTACGTACAATTAGAATAGTAGTATCTACTTTAGTTTCTAATGGCCTGTAAAATATTCGCCATTTTTGAGACAAAATACCAAACGCATTTTCCACGAACCTTCTAGCTCGGCAAAGTCTTACATTGTATTTCTCTTTTCTGACGTCTGTTAAAGTCTGCTTATAAGGAAATGGTCTCATCAGGTATGGTTTTAAAGCAAATGCTTCATTACCAATTAAAACGTACGAGCAGATTTCATTTTGCACAGGGAGAAATCTAGGTGCAGGGACACTCATTAAATTTTGTTCAAATCGTTTTTCCATGTTTGAGGTTTCGAAAATACCCCCATCACTATTTTTTTCGAAACCACCAATATCAACACATATAAATTTAGAGTCCGGGCCAACAATGGCCACAAGTACTATTGAATATTTATGTAAATAGCACCAGTAATTGGAGCCACTGTTGTTAGGTCTCTTGATTGTTACATGTTTACCGTCCACGCTGCCAATGCAATTAGGAAATCCCCATCTATTTTCAAATTCTTCAGCACATTTTTTCCATATATTGTCTGTTGGTTCTGTTAAATATATATGCTCCATATGTCTGCATATCGCTTCACAGACTTCGGTTACGATTGCACTCACTGTTGTAAAGCCAACTCGAAAGCTATGCCCAATGGTATAGAAGGTGTCACCAGTGACAAGGAATCTATAAAAAAAATCGTTTTTAGGTGATGAAGTAAAAAAAAGGTGGAAGAATATCAGAGACACGTTTGCAAAATATATAAAATCTACCAAACTAAAGACCGGCCAAGCAGTGGGCAACATAAAAAAATGGCAGTTGGCTGACTACATGGAATTTTTCCGTCCTTTTTTTGGCATTTGCCAAAACGTCGTCTAATGTGAAAGATATTGACGTCATACATTATGAGACTGCCGAATTTAACTCAAATATATATCAGGAAGGGGCTGGAAATGTAGAAACCGAAAATTTGGAAGACCGCGGCCATGGAGAAGATGAAAATGCTGATGTAGATGCAGAAGATGCACAGAACGCCTCGGCAACACAGACAGCACCACCTTCTTCATTGAACACTACAGCAGTGACTACTCCAGGGCACACCTTTCCGCAGACTACAACTACACCAAAATATAAAACGAGCAGAAAACGCTATGAACCACCATCTTCGTCTGTACAACAGCTCATTGATTATTTTGAAGGTAAAAAACCTAAAAAAGAGAACGAGGCCATTGATTCACTTTTCTTGGCACATGCACAGACTGTGAAAACACTTCCCTTAAAGCGTCAAGCCCGAATAAAACTAAAAATAGCCGAATTAATAGCGCACGAAGAATTTGAACATATTGTAGAAATGTCTTCAGCGTCTACCCAGAATTCTGCAAGTATGTATGATAGTAGTATGTCGTCCTTCCCAAGCGGCACTGGGTTTACTCCAATAATATACCCAACAGAGGAGGCAAATTCTGCCTCGAATTATTTAGCAACATTTAATCCTAGTGGCAACATGTGGTCCAATTATTACAATAAAATATTTATTTCACGATCCCTGAAGTTTTCGTATTCGATAAGCCTACTAATTTTAATACATATAATTTTTTTACCTGAGTGTAATAGCAAGTCGTTCTTCTGGCGAAATAGCTTCACGGTAATTTGTGTCAGATTTTCGTATTTCATCTTTCACCAAGTTCAATATTTCATCGAAACACTCTGGAGTCATTCTAAAATATACGTAAAAGCGCTGTTCATCCAGCCGAAGTTGTGGCATCAAGGTATGATATTCCCCAAGTTTATTTCGTTCCAAGTTAATATCATGTACCCACTTCCTTCGTTTCCTAAACAAAATTGAAAATATTTGTTTTATGTACTTCGTTAAACTTAATACATACCCAACTATCAAATGGCGTTAAATAAACATAACTTACCGTGCATTTTGTTCCTCTTCTAAAGCAAGGAATAGAAGTGCCTCCTCTTCTTCTGAAGACGAGCTCATTGCAAAGGGCAAAAATAAAATGTACGCAACCTGTCGAAACCTTCACGTTCGCGGAGCGAATAAGACGCTTTGGTATAAATAAACAGGCGAAACAGATTGCGAATTTCGCTCTGAATTTCGTTGCGAATACTTCGCCGCGATTATTTCGCGCCGGTTTGTGGGATGCTTTTATCGCCACGAATATCGCAGCGGATTAATCGCTTTGGTTTGCGGGATCCTTCAGGTGGACGACGGAACAGAAGGAAGAGCAGCTGCTACATCGCTTTGAGAGCGATGATTCGCGCCGTAGGTGCTACATGTCTCGCAAGTATGGGAGATGGTTCGAAATGCATCCTGAGCATAGCGCTTTTGCCACTCGGAATTTGCAAGATTATTTAGGATACCTGCGGGGCTCTAGCTCAGCCGTCTAATCCGGGGAATGGAAAGCCTGTTGTACAGGCTGAAAGGTCACTGGCAATGCTTGCTAAGAGGGAGAGCGACACTGCAGTTGCACCTAGGCAACTTAACCACCGAAGAGCCATCAGGGGGCCCTTAAAGCTCACAGGTTTGTAGCGAAAGGACGATGTCCTTGATGAACGTCTCTCGGAGAACTTTGATGTTTGGAGTATTCGTTGTAAACTTTACGCCGCGAAGGAGAAAAAGTAGGAAGGTCCCGTCGTTGTCGATCAGCTTCAAAGTTATTTTTGTAATGAACAACCCAGTAGCACATTATTTTACTGAAAATGGATGCATTCACAAAATTGTGTGACAATTACCAACAGCTGGCAAAATTCCGAAACATTCCCCAGGGAATAGAACCTTGCCTACTTCCTTGCAGTGATTCTTCTTACTTGTTTTCAGTCCTGAAGGATGTTTCAAAGGTTCACAGAATACTGCAAGTGGTTCACATTAATTAAATGTGGTATGGTATGAATCTCGGCTGGTTTTAGACCAATGAAAGGAAGAAAAAATAGATGAGCTATATTAGTAAATCATCGGCAGATCACATGGAATGTTTCAAAATAAGAACTATTATATAAATAGAATTGATTTCATTGCCACGTTCCTTGCGAACGTTGACATTTAAAAGGCATAAGAATTAAGAACATTAAGAAATGTAATAGACAAACATAAGATTAGAATTTCACAAAATACTGAAGAAATTCGTGTAATACTTTGATGTATGTCACTTTAAGACAGTACTAACATAACACAGAAATAAAAAAAATATTGTCACTGTTTTCATCGGTTACCAGTAATTTGAATTTCTCTTTATTAATGGTATGGTGCCAATTCCTAGGACAAACCCTTTTTAATGATTTTTATATATTATATATTTCTTTCTCAGCGACTCAGTATTGTGTTGAAATCTGTTGAACACTAATGTTATTAACGAATCTCAGAGATTTCCTCATAAAATATCGTTTTTCCCTCGTAGAGTTGGTTTCTCGCGTTGGCAATCAGCGCCATTTTGTGATTTCTGCACCTACTACCCGTAGGAATATTTGACTTTCTATCATGATACCTTTTTAAAAAATTTTACTTTCCATCAAGATACCTTGTTTTAGGGGTTCCGTGAGCAGACGGGTCCAGCGCCATTATTTTTCTTTTTCTTTCTGCTGAGGTATGCTGTGGGCATTTCGTTAATAGGATATAGGACTTCCAAACACCAGTTTATGGAGTAGTACGCTTTATTTTGTACCTTGCGCTTAGTTGCGTTAGTTTGGGTGCTACCCCGTCCATTTTCTAATGGGGTTTTAACCTTCAGCGTGGCAAGGCATTGCGGAGAACCACCATTCACACTCCTCCAGATTTGTTTTGTAGCTGCCTTGTAGATGTTTACAGTCGATTTTTCTGGAGGCCTGCCCATCCCCTTGACAATATAATGTTTAAAACTGTCACACAGCGCGAACATAGTGACATATTCTTCTCAGATAAATAATATGTAAATAATTGAATAATGGCAGTGATTTCTGTCTAAAAGGTGTTCTTCAACAGAGTAATATGCTTTTTTATTAATAGGGACTTCTTACTCCGTCAATTTGTCAGGAAGTTTACGATGTATCTCTATCGCGATATATTTAGGACTTTTTTCTGTGATAATCAAGCTTCCTCCCTATAATTATGTACCACATATGAATTGAAAGTACAGGTTCGTATTTTATTCACATTTTCTGCTGTTGAAGTCTCCGTAATATATCTTTACTGTACGGGCGCTTTTTCAGGAGATGTCTCCTGCTAGAACTTCCGTTGGTTGGTACTTCTTCTTAATAAGTTTTTTACTTCCTATGCCACCTGAGGTTATGTTTTGTGCTCGTTAGGCGACATGTATATCTGTCATGTACAGGTTACTCTGTCTATCTGTATGTCTCTTGGTCTGTCTATCATTCGGTCTGGCTGTCTGTCGATTTGTCGGTTTATCTAGTGATCCTTGACCCGTTTATAACTTGCAAAGTACAGCTAAGATTTCAATGAAACTTTCATATAAGACTACTTTTTCGCCAAAGACAAAAAGGCGTCGCAGTCTTTGCAAATCGGTCTAGTAGCGAAGAAGCTGCGGGGAAAAAGCAAAAAAATGTTCCTCGTTTTTTGTCATTTCGGACTCTCCTGCTCGTTTCCAGGAAAAACTTTATGGGTGCTAAGAATTGATGTTTGGAGGTTGTGGATAGTGGAGGAGGGAGTTTCTCAATTTGTTTACGTAGGTATATTTATATGCTCCCAATTCTACACACATATTAGACATATTTCACACGTCATAGATTTCGTCTTAAAACTGGCTCTCTGCTTCTACCTGGCGGTCGTTTCATCCTCGGCGAGTGTCGTGACTGACGCGTCATACTGTCAGCCATGGAAACAATGTCCATGGACTAATTGTATGGGCCTGATTGACTGACTTGATCCGTTACGCTTCTCTGTCATAAATGTCCATAACTAACTTTCTTCTGAGAGGGTCTAACTTGTGCTGAACCCTTTATGGACTAGTGACTGCCTTGCGTGGCAAGTGCGGAGTCAAGCTACTTGACGCCATTTCTAAAACATGGCTTGAGATAAACTGTTCCTCAGAGCTTTATCTAAATATCTTGCTCCAACATTCTTTATACATGACAGAAATGTGTAATACTTGATTTATAGTTTTCCAGGTCCAGTACCAAATGAAGTTATTATTTTTTTTTCTGTTATAGTGCTTTATTATAAAAATAATGGCCACTTGTTTCTTTGTTATCTGACATACGCCTACGCCTCTGGATAGATAGTCTGCTATTTGATCCGGTACACCGTCGAGCAAAGTTGATTTCTATTATTAAAAGTATATTGACAGTGGAGCCGGGATGCCGAACATATAGCTTCTACCTTTAGGGCAACAGCAGCAAATTTCAGTATACTTGTACTTTCCCCTCTCAATTCCAAGATAAATGCTATTCCAGGCAGTAATCTGTCTAATGAACACTTGGTGTTGTAAGCCGAAGTTTCACTTGTGGCACGTTTCAGCTTATGAAATGGCAACATTATTATCACAAACTTACCGTGAGTTTGTTACACGAACTTTGCGTTGTTTTTTTAGGTAAATTTACAGACTCCCGCTCGATAACTCAAAATAGTAGACTTCTAAAAATGGCGGAAGCCTCGTACCACCATCTATTTCTAGATCAACCTATGTTCCTCTTCCAACAGTGACTGCAAAATTTTAGGCTTCTTTTTATGTAATTATTAGTCGTATTCGAAAAGTCTGACTAAATAATACTTTTTTCTGCTCTACGATTTTGCACAGTAGTGTACACATTGCATCTGCACCTGGATTCAACGATGTAAAAATTGAAACTTGTGACAAACAGCCATGCAATTTTTATTCTGAATCATTACGAACACATGGTGGAGATTTGCTGTGACGTATAATAAATTATTTCCACGGGTAACATATGAAAATGATAAATAATTAGTGGGTCAGCTGGGAAACGACCAGTGTCGGATACCTGAGCATATTTACAGGGCTAAAAGGGATAACAATGCTACGATAATGTTTTAATAGTTATCCTACCCAGAAAGCGTTACTCCACGCAGACATTTTTGACGTCTGTTATGTATACCATATTCAGAAGTGGGATAGACATAGATAGTGCGAGTGCTAAGCGATGCTGTAGATTGTAGACGTTTCTACTTGGTATTACAATTTATTGTAAACAGTTTCATAGCCAAACATCAGAAGTTGCGATTCTAACAACTATCATGTGTTTGGTGATAAAACTGCACAGGTATTCTACTTCCTCATCGTAAGTGCTTTAATGGTTCTCCTGCCCAGATAGCGTTAATCCAGGCAGACATTATTGACGGTTGTCTATTGTGTATCCCATATTCAGAAGTGGGATAGACATAGATAGTGCGAGTGCTAAGCGATGCTGTATATTGTAGACGTTTCTACTTGGTATTACAATTTGTTGTGCACAGTTTCGTAGCCAATACTCAGAAGTTGCGATTCTAACAACTATCATGTGTTTGGTGATAAAACTGCACAGTTATTCTGCTTCCTCATCGTAAGTGCTTTAATGGTTCTCCTACTCAGAAGGCGTTATTCCAGGCAGACATTTTTGACACTTGTCTATTGTGTGTCCCATATTCAGAAGTGGGATAGACATAGATAGTGCGAGTGCTAAGCGATGCTGTATATTGTAGACGTTTTTACTTCGTATTACAATTTATTGTGCACAGTTTCATAGCCAAAACTCAGAAGTTGTGATTCTAACAACTATCATGTGTTTGGTGATAAAACTGCACAGGTATTCTACTTCCTCATCGTAAGTGCTTTAATGGTACTCCTACCCAGAAAGCGTTATTCCAGGCAGACATTATTGACGGTTGTCTATTGTGTATCCCATATTCAGAAGTGGGATAGACATAGATAGTTGCGAGTGCTAAGCGATACTGTATATTGTAGACGTTTCTACTTGGTATTACAATTTATTGTGCAGTTTCGTAATCAATACTCAGAAGTTGCGATTCTAACAACTATCATGTGTTTGTTGATAAAACTGCACAGGTATTCTACTTCCTCATCGTAAGTGCTTTAATGGTCCTCCTACCCAGAAAGCGTTATTCCGGCTAGACATTTTTGATGGTTGTCTATTGTATATCCCATATTCAGAAGTGGGATAGACATAGATAGTGCGAGTGCTAAGCGATGCTGTATATTGTAGACGTTTCTAATTGGTATTACAATTTTTGTGCACAGTTTAATAGCCAATGCTCAGAAGTTGCGATTCTAACAACTATCATGTGTTTGGTGATAAAACTGCACAGGTATACTACTTCCTCATCGTAAGTGCTTTAATGGTTCTCCTACCCAGAAAGCAGAAAGCGTTATTCCAGGCAGACATTATTGAAGGTTGTCTATTGTGTATCCCATATTCAGAAGTGGGATAGACATAGATAGTTGCGAGTCCTAAGCGATGCTGTATATTCTAAACGTTTCTACTTGGTATTACAATTTATTGTGCACAGTTCCGTAGCCAATACTCAGAAGTTGCAATTCTGACAACTATCATGTGTTTGGTTAAAAAAACTGCACAGGTATTCTACTTCCTCATCGTAAGTGCTTTAATGGTTCTCCTAACCAGAAAGAGTTATTCCAGGCAGACATTTTTGATGGTTGTCTATTGTGTATCCCATATTCAGAAGTGGGATAGACATAGATAGTTGCGAGTCCTAAGCGATGCTGTATATTCTAAACGTTTCTACCTGGTATTACAATTTATTGTACACAGTTCCGTAGCCAATACTCAGAAGTTGCGATTCTAACAACTATCATGTGTTTGGTGATAAAGCTGCACAGGTATTCTACTTCCTCGTCGTAAGTACTTTAATGGTTCTCCTACCCAGAAAGCGTTATTCTAGGCAGACA